GACTCATTTAAATTTTTGTTTATGGGACAAAAAGACATATGGAGCGCTAGCTATGACGCCTAAAAAACCGCCCCCCCCCCAGACCAGGCTGAACGACAGAGCTAAAAGAACCCTCTGGGGTAGAAAAAACTACTCCCGCCCGTAATCCTTTCCGTGAACTGCTCCATCCAATAACCCCTACCACCAAGCGACAAAAGAAAGCTAACTACCCGACAGTGAACCAAGAACCCGCCAAAACCTCAAGAACAAACACCTAAAGGCAGAAACCCAAACCGAACCCCTAAGGGCCAACGATCACAACTCAAATCCAATATAAGAACCCCGAGGCCATATAACAAGGGCCAGGAGGAGGGAGCCAAAGCCCCGGACACGAAGGGTATAAGGAAAACCACCCCGAAGGTGGCGACCGAGAAGTGAGGAGAGGAGGTGTGTGGCAGGCGTGCCAGCCACCGTGTGTCCTCCGGGACGTTCGACGATTGAGGCAGTAAGGTACCAGCTTGAGAGGAGGTGGTAGTAGGGTACCAGCTGATTCGACCGTGGAGAGGAGCCGTAAGCAAAGCAAGTATTTTCCCGCGTCTCTCATGTAGTCCCTTGTTCTGGGAGAGATAGCATCACTGTAGTGGAAGGGATCCCACCACCTGCCAGCCAAAGAGGCCCCAAAGAGTAGAGGAGGGGTAGACCCAATTCCGTGAACGACAACTATCAGTAACCGCGTTCGTGTCTGACTAGGCAGCCTCTTACGGGGGCAAGAGAATGGAGAGATCGACCGTAGCCTGTAAGCTGTTCTCTCCTACTGCAACTGTAGTCCTGGCCGTCTGTTGAAGGTGGAAAAGGGGGTTGCCGACCGTGTCAATGCCTAAGCGAGGCAGGGTAGGAAGAGGGGAAACTTCACGAAGATGGGAGGCCTCAACCAGGGATGGAGCCGAGAGAATCAAGAAATAAATCAGGACTTCAAGGGAGAGGGGAAGCGAGCCCACCTCCTGTAGCCGAGGCTAGATGGGGGGAGATGGCGGGGGGGGTAGTGGTGCTAGATGATGAAAGCCACGATAGAAACCATGGTGTTGAGTTTTCAATCGCCGGAGGTGTAGCGGAGACGGAGGATGGACTTAAAGCTAGGGAGGCATCTCGATATTTATATTTTGTATCTGAGTGGTCGTGGGCTACATCGAATCCCTTACTGACTATGTACCTATCATACTAATGATTCAGTGTCCTTGAAGTGCAAGCTCCATTTGACCCTGAAAACTAACTTTCCCGCTCTCTTCCTTAGCGGAGTGATCAGCTCTGTCAAAGGACTTATCAATGACTCTTCTACATACATAGCTTAGAGTACATGACGAAGATAACCAACTTGACCAGTGAGCTTGTTATTAATCAATTGTGAACAGGTCTTCCAGATGATCCTAGTTCATACGAGCTAAGGGGGCATGCATATTACTTCTCGTAATAGCGTATTGACTTGCAGAGGTCGTAGCTCTATAACTAACTGACCAATCTGAACCAACTAAGTCTTATATTATAGAGCGGAGCTCCTTCTATGTTATCCAGTGAAAACCCCTCGGTTGCATGCCTTGTATCTCCATGGAGCGGGCTGCATAGGTGCCTTATTGTTCCATGCGATAATATGATATCGTTACGATAACTACAGCGGGGCCCAGAGTTGAACACGTGACCTTATATATTTAGTTCTGTGCCACACCGATTATGCTTCTATGTGTAACAATTATATCAATCTAGACAAAATAATTATATTTAAAAAAAAAAACTATTTAACTTATAAGATATACTACTTTAAGTTTTTTTATTTCTGCTTATATTTTATTCTACTTTATACCTACTAACTTGCTAGTTGATCACTCATGAAGTTATAAATTTTTGTTATCCTTCTGACTCGATTTCTAGTCAGTAATAGTAACTCTCAATTATCACCTTTCTTTTTGTAATCAACAAGCAAGTTAGTTATATCCTATATACTAAAGTTGACCTGTATCCTGAGTATCTTTAGAAAGTTTAAATTTCTTTCAACTAAAACCTAGTATGTTGTCCTGAATTACTTCCTATATAGGACAAATTCCCTGTATTCTAGCTCTGCAATAGACAAGAATGACTCCCTACACTTCATGGAGACCCTGAACTCGAACATTTAATTTTATATTGGAATTTCATTTTTCGTAATCTGTCATCGACTACGGTATCACTCATGAATGGGCCAGCCAAGACCGCCACGGAGATATCATCCCTGGATGTCCGTGGCGAATTTGACAAGATAATACAGTATCCCCTGAACTGCCAGCAACTGCCATTCACGTGAGATTGTTGAACTGGGGCTAGGCCACATCGCTTAGTCACCTGTGCGCACCCTAAGAAATAAGCTTGTATATTAAAATATGAGGAGCTGCGCTCATATGTCAGCTCCCCACAACGCGTATCCCTCTTCCACAAGCAATCAATCAAACCTCTATAATCAAGTCTCTATTGTATTTCTATCAAATCTCTACGATATATAGATCTGATGCCTCGGGAATCCAACGATGTCGATCTAGTGCGTCGGCCGGAGTACTCCAAGCTTCCACAGGGGATCAGGTGTGATCCACCTCCAAATTCAGATCTTCCACCAGGAGACTGGCAGCCCCTGCAGATCGAGAACGATAATGAGCATCCCCATGGCTACCCTAGGCTACCAGCTGGTATAGATAATTCCAATGCCATCGAGCTGTTTCAACTATTCTTCCCCGATAAGCTCCTCGATGAATTGGCCTACTACACCAATAGTTTGGCCAAAGAATACTACCGGAAGTCAAAAAATACAACTGCGGAGTTCGCTCAGGAATGGAAGCCTATATGTAGGCAGGAACTCTATGCATATCTTGGAGTTGTGCTTTATATGGCACTTCATAGTGAGCCTTCAATCGGTGACTATTGGAAGATACCCGATGGCTTTTTTCCGGACCATCCTGTAAGGTACTACATCTCGCGCAATCGATTTGAACAGATTGATCGCTTTCTCTACTGTACAGAGCCTGGGCAATCATTCGAAAGCCCATTTGGAAGAGTCATTCATCTCTCTGATTACATCAAAACCCGTGCACAAAAGTACTACAAGCCTGGTCCCAATCTTGCTGTAGATGAGATGATTCAGCGCTTTCAAGGGCGAGCCTCTGAGATTGTCAACATTCCCCATAAGCCTACGCCAAAAGGCTTTAAAATTTGGGTCCTGGGATGTTCCGGATATATCCTCAACTGGATGTTCCACGCAAAAGGCAAGGATCGTGGACCTGTTGAACTGGATCCTATTTGGGTAGAATACGGTTTTATCCCTACCGAAGCAGTACCACTTACGCTTGTACTTCACCGCGATCCACATACTGGACAAAGGATGCTTGAAGCGAATAAGCATATAGTCTGGTTTGACAATTTGTTTACGACAATTCCACTTCTGGAAACACTACGTGAGTTAGGTATTGGAGCTGCTGGAACTGTACGTACATTACGTACAAAGCGAGAGGAGTAATGGGATGCAGAAGAAGAAGCTGCCATTTCTGGGCAGAGAAGGGAGGCCGAGGCTACAGCATCGATACAACCGTCCTCACAATACCCCACTCGCACTGCTGTTGTAGAGGCCTACAACTCTCAGTCAATATCCACTGGATTTAGCCAATCAGAATCCCTACCATTGACCTTGCAGCGCCAGAGGAAAAACCGTCATATTATAGAGTTACTCTCCCCTCGTGAGAAATTCTCAGATAGGCTTATGAGTATCAAGTTAACCTACAACAATCGAGTTGTATGGGGAACCCAATACTGAGAGCTTTCAGCCAAGAAATCAGTCATTCAACTTGCTTGGAAGGATGCTCAAATCGTCCTATTTGCAAGTACCGTTGCACTTCCTCATGAATAAGTGGTCCAGCTCTGCAAGCGGCCAGCCGCAACAGCAACCGGAGCGAATATTATACGTAAAGTATTTGGAGATCAGCCTGTCAAGTATCTCCCAATACCGACAATTGTGGATTGCTATAACCATAGTATGGGTTCTGTGGACCAAGCAGCGCAACTCATGACGACCTACGATACCCAAAGAGTTAAAAGAAAGACATGGAAGCCACTATTCTTCTTCCTATTGAATGTGGCCATTAACAACTCCTTTTTGTTGTCAAGCCAGCGTGCAGAGAATCCAACTCGTGCACATAAAGAGTTCTTTCAGGATCTGATCGCCTCCCTCTTTGAAGCTTCTCAGAAAACATTTCGTGGACCTAATTTAGCTACTCGAGAATCCCCGAGTCCTGAACTACCAGATTTACCTCCACCACGCCCTGGAGTTCCTTCCAGCATAGCCGCAGTTCCAAGCTCTGATTCAGTTATTTCTATTCCTGAGACTCTTGTACCGCAGGCTGGCAAAAGGCTAGAAAAGATCATGCGGAAACATGAGCTAGTAAAGCTTTTTCCAATTGCCAAGTCCTGTCAGTCATGTCGACTAGCATGCAAGTGTTACACATAATAGCGTAATCGGTGCGACACGTGACTAAATGCATAAGGTCACGTGTTCGACTCCGGGCCCCGCCGTAGTATTCGTAGCGCTAAGATATTAGCGCACGATACGACAAGGCATCTATGCAGCCCGCTCCGCGGAGATACGAGGCATGCGACCGAGGGGTTTTCGCTGGATAACATAGAAGGAGCTCCGCTCTACAAGATAAGACTTAGTTGGTTCAGATTGGTCGGATAGTTAATGAGCTACGACCTTTGCAAGTCTATATGCAATTACAAGAAGTAATATGCATATCCCTTCAGCTCGCGTAAGCTAGAGTCATCCGGAAGACCTAGTTACGATTGGTTAATAACAACTCACTAGTCGAGTTAGTTATCTTCGTCATGCACTCTAAGCTATGCACATAGAAGAGTCATTGATAAGTCCTTTGACGGAGCTGATCACTCCACTAAGGAAGAGAACGGGGAAGTTAGTTTTCAGGGTCAAACGGAGTTCGCACTCCAAAGACAATGAAGCGTTAGTATGGCAGGTACATAGTCAGTAAGGGATTGAATGTAGGCCGCGACCACCCAGACGCGTGTCACGGCCACCCGGCGTGCTGGACGTGGAGGAACATTGGACTTTTGGTTGCATATGTCGGCTGTGGTTTCTTTGGTTGCGTTGTAGGATTTCCTTTGTGTTATGATTGGGATAGGTTGCCACGCGACGGAACCTGGCGGAACATGACGGAAGGATCGCGGCTGCACGCGACGCCAAGGACTTTCTTTTGTATTAGTGATCATGGAGGATTCCCTACCTATATAAGGGGGTATGCCCCCTTATACTTTATGTTCTTTACGCAAT